TCTGCATTCGGTGTTTGAGTATTTTGGTCAATAATAGTTTTGACATGATCGAGTAATAAATAAAGTTCCTTTTTTTTTATGTTTTACACTTTCATTTTCAATTGCAGTTTCGTCTGAAATTAAAGAGTATATTCAACGAAATAATCTTTTAACTATACCTCAAATTTATCATAATGTAAAAGCCTCAGGTCTAAATGGATATTCTCATGTAACGCGACAACAAATTTATTACTGGTGTAAACGATTAGGGTTTAACGAATATAAATTATCTGAAGACCAGATAAAATCGACAATTCAATATCTTTTCCAAGATCCTACCTGTAGATTAATTATTCAGCAATCTACTGTTATTGCATTTTTAACGCCTTTATTTAATGTTTTTCCTCAAGAACAAATTACTACAATTGTTGTCGATGCTACATACAACACAAATCGGCTAAAGTATGAACTTTATGCGATCCTTGGAATTGTAGATGGGGCTGGGTTTCCTTTATCCTATTTATTTGTAAAACCCGATCAAAAAGAAAAACGTTCGGCAGTTCTCTTAAATTGGTTTTATTTAATCAAAGAACAAGGTATACATTATGTTAAAACTTTTTTAACCGACAAAGATTTTTCGCAAATCACATCGGCACAAATTATCTGGCCTCATGCACGAATTCAATTGTGCTATTGGCACGTTCTCCGGGCTATTAAAAAAAAACTTTCCAGCTCGGGAATTGTATGTTCAACATATGACGCAAGTGAAGCACATAAATTCTGCTCAGAAATTGATCCAACTTGGCAACCGATACTAAAAAATCCAAATGTACTTGTCGATCTTTCTTCAAATAGTGATGGAATTAAAAACACAATAGCGATAGCAGATAACAAGCATCAAATTTTTTGCAGGAAAGATCTTTGTGAACATATTATTCAATTAATTCGAGTACATTTTTTTGTGCATCCTTTAATACCAACTGAAACTCGTCCTAAATTATACAATCTACAAGAAATATGGAGTGATTGTGTGAAAGAACAATATAATTATTGCAAAGTTAATAATCTTCCACATGTTTGGTCCTATATGTAGAATGAATGGTATCGACCTGAACGGTGGAGATTATGGGCGCGGTCGGCAATGGAGCATGTTAATATTTTACGATCCTCAATGGCAGTCGAAAGTCACTGGAGAGCAATTAAGCATAACTATCTTTCAGAGTACAATCGAGCACGTTTAGATTTATTAGCTTACATTATTGTAACACGAGTTATTCCTGGACAAGTAGATCGGCTGCAGCAATTACGAGATGGTAGAATTGTAACACGTTGGCGTTCTGATCTTAGAAAAGAATGGAACGAACTTAACAAAAAAAGTATTAATTTTAACCCCCAACGAATTACTGACACAAACAGATGGATGTGCTCGTGTTTTAGTTTTTTGTTTAGCAGATTTTTTATCTGCAAACATTTGGTTAAAGAGATAAATCCAATTCCAATTGGGTTTTTCAAAAAGGTATATTTATTTTGTTAAATTCTAGATTAAATATTTAATAATTTAAATATGTTTAGGTTCATCGTCAGGAATCTTATCCTTTTTTGCGGTTTAATGAACATGATAACGATAACCTCTTTAAACACCTGCCAGAAAATCTTTTTCAAATACTTTAAATAAACCAGCAATTGAACAAGCTTCGAATACTGCTTCTGAATTATTATCTCAAGATGACATACCCCAAGATGATATACTAACCCAAGATAATGTGCTACCTCAAGATGATGTATTATCTGTATTACCCCAAGACGACATACTTTCTCAAAACGATGAGCTATCTCAAGATGACATACCCCAAGATGATATACTAACCCAAGATAATGTGCTACTTCAAGATGATGTATTATCTGTATTACCTCCAAGACGATATACTTTCTCAAAATGATGAGCTATCTCAGGATATCACATTAACTCTGGATACTGCAATTGAAAATGAAAGTGTAAAACATAAAAAAAAGGAACTTTATTTATTACTCGATCATGTCAAAACTATTATTGACCAAAATACTCAAACACCGAATGCAGA